AGTAAAACAGTATTAGATGTTTGTAATCAAATCAAATTATTAACTCAATTTGAAAAAAAAATTATTGTAATTAAAAAAAATTATTAACTGAATTAAAATAAAAAGTTTAAAAGATCAAAAGAATACAATTAAAAAAAAATTATCTCAATTAAATTATTTATTTATATTGAACTAATCACTTAATTTAATTGTAAATATCTAATACTATTTTCGTGTATATGGCAAAATCATCAACTAATTATTTTTAATTTATTATTTTTTTAATTTTTAACCTTTTAAAATTAAATTATTACACTTTTAATTTTAAGGACTAAAAATGTAAATATTTTATTTTTACCTTAATAGAGAATTAACCGATTTTGTTAGTATAAAAATTAAAATTTAGAAATTAAAAGCTTTATATTATAAAATGATGAATTAAAAATTTTAAATTTAATAAAATAAAAAATTAAATGCATAGTTTAATTTAAAAGAAAAATTATATACTAGTTGATTGCTTACCGTGCACGCATGAAATGAAATTAATAGGGTGCAGGCCACTCATTGACAATCTGGTTCTTAACCTTTCCTCTCTTGTTTGTTTGATTCGTGGGGAAGATTGAAGTAAGGTCATTGTTTGATTCGTGGGGAAGATTGAAATAAGGGCAACATCATTAGTGAGTACGTGCGTAATGTGTTTCGGTAGGCGCTTAAATAACACCTTAAGTAACAGTTTGTGGTACCATTTTTCACAGAGAATTTTAAGGATTTGTTTGGCCATTCGGGAGTGCTATAAACCGTACACTTTTTCACAAAATTTTATTTAAATTTATTATAAATAATTAATTTTAATTAATATCTTATATATTTTTAAGATAAAAAAGGACAAGAAAAGTTAAACCTCAACGATGGCATGCGCTCTCCGACAAAACCTAATTATAAGTGTATATGACTTATTACCAAAAAAAAAAGGTGTATATGACTAGTTATAAGACTAAGCATTGCCATAATGGGCAGGCCTAACCTTTTTTCTAAAAAGTAATCTCTACTCATTGATAAAATTATTTTTTTTGTTAAAAAAAAAAAAAAACAAACCCTTCTTTTTTGGTCATCGTCAACAAAGCATATAGACGAGGATGCTCATCAAGTTTTGAATTTTCTTTTGGAAAATTCAAAAGTAAAAACAGTAATGAGACTACGAATATATGAGGTGTAAAATGTTTGGAATAAATAATTGCATGAGATGGATAGCTGGAAATTGACAGAAGAACCTTGAACGTATCATTAAGGGCTATGACCAGAAAAGATGTGATTCTATCTGTCCATTCCAAGTAGAACTAGTAAAATGTGCAAACAACTAAAATCTTGTATTTCTCGTTTTGGTGCGATTCTGTTTCTATCAATCCTTCTTAATGGGTTGAATGGGTTATGATCACACTCTAAGAATTAATGTTATATTTTTTAATATAAATAATTATTATATCTTTATATTTTATATTTTTGGTTTAAGTACCATTTTAGTCCCTCAACTTATCACTTTGGCACCAAAATTGTCCCTTATCTTTAAAAAGTACCAAAATTATCCTTAAACTTTCATTTTTGGTACCAAAATGGTCCTTCCGTCAGTTAAATGCCAGGTGGCTCGTTAAGATGCCACAAAATCACCGGTTTTTTTTTTTTAATTTTAATGACGTGTAAATCCAGCAACGATATTTTTGACACCGTGGCATTTTTTTACACGTCAAATTATCATCTTCTTACTTTCTCTTTTTAGTGGGGCCCACATGAAAATTTTGTTTTCTCCTTTTCCAGTTTCAATCAAGTTCCCCAAAAATCACAATTCAATTATCTTCGTTTCTTTTCATTTCCTTTTCAAATTCAAAACCCTAAACCTACTACTACTCCTACAAAATTAAAATCAAACTCAAATCATCTTTCTGTTTTCTTCTTCTTGTTCTTTCTCTCTCTCTCTCTTCTCCCTTCTTCCTCTCTCTCTCTTCTCCCTTCTTCCTCCCCAGATTTGGGTTTCAAACCCAGATTTGGGTTTTCTCAAGCATGCTGAACCACCGCACGCCTACTCCAACTCCTATTCCAGATCTGGGTCTTCGAGTTGCTGGAGCACGTGCAGCCACACA